AATACACATGCAGACTCTTAGATTTCACACTCAAACATGAAGAGGAAATGGGCTCTCATGGGGGAGAACCTTTATGAGTTACGCCTTGTAAAGCGTGCAACGGTACAATCCTTCCCCCAGGCTCTTACTGATGTGATGGGCTCTTTTATTGGGGTCAGCAGAGGGCGTTACACTAAATCTAAGTGTGAGCATGTGTGTGTATTTGTGTAGTGCTTTAAAACTCTTGACCTGACATGAAGACTCACCTAGCCCTGCTTTCCCATGTCACCATGGTTACATATTTATTGTATTCAGGTGGCATCTCAGTTTATACACACTTTAAAATGTACACACTCACACACAATTACCTTCATCTGAAGAGACAGTAACACAAACACCTTCAGACAAAGAGACACACTCACTCACACAATTTATTGAGCTTACTCTCTTAAATGGCCTTTGGTCATTAAATGATGCAACCAAAGGAAAGCCTGTTAATCTGGTTTAATAGGTGTGTGTGGGTGGGCTTTCATTTTTATAAAACACATTCTAGGTGAGTTTATGCATAACTTGACTTGTCCTGATTGTTTCACTTCATGAAATAATAAATATTAAATTGTTTGAAACCAAAAAAAATTCTTGGCATATTTCAGAGAAAGGTGCTTGATGCTCCTGTGAGGAGTTTTTAGCTCAAAAAGTCTGAAATGAATACTAATGTTCTTTTCATACGATTTTTTTGCATGGCTTTATTCAGATAGGACAGTCGATAAAGTCAGGAATCTGGATGAGAGAGACAGAGTGGGGAATGATATGTGGAAAAGGAGCCACAGGTTAAACACAGTCCTATCAGACACAGTCGAACCCTGGCCTCCAGCTTCAAGAACAACAAAGTAAATGAACTGTTTGACTAACCAACACTGCAGAAAGGGGATTTCTCTATATTCAGTTTTAAAGCTTTGTACCACTGCCCTATCATCGGTCTCAGACGAGGAGATTAAAGCAAGCTGCATTTGTTTGAGTTTTCTACAGCAAAAAATCACAATGAGGGATACAGTTGACAGTAATGGAAAGCTGGTTGCATTTCATCAGAGAATGCTACTTGCGCATGCACAGGACAAGATCATCAAGGAAGTACTGCTCTGCCCACAGAGGGGGACAGCAATAATGCAAACCAAAAATTCCTCACATGCTCTCCGACATACATTTGTTATTGATGTCATAGCAGTATTATAGATGATCTGTGTTTCCAGCACTTGACGTACTCTTCAAACATGAGGATTTCTAAAAAGTTTATCTTCAGCATCTACATTAGAGTGGTATTTATGATTGCATGCCTATAGAGCTAAAGGGTCTGCGAATAAATAGATATTGTTTATAGCTCACTTTCTGTGACTGCTCTATCCTTGGAGTGCTGTGTTGTTTGGAGTGTCTTAGGGATTACAATGCGATTCATGATCCCATGATGGTGTTTAACCAAAAGCAGTGTGTAGATTCACACTTCAGACAATGATTCAACTGTGCTAACAAGCACAAACAGACACCATATCTCTGTTCCTCTTTCTCCTCGCAGGAGCAGCTTAAACAGAGTTGTTTCATCTGCTCGGCACCTCAAAGCTCTGATGACAAAAGGATACCCTATTTTGAAATACACATTGCAAAATCCTTAAACATTCAGAAGCTCTACCACCATGCATTAAAGAAAGGCAGGTGACGCACAGATGCTGCATTCAGGGTTTGGATCTATAAGAGGAAATGGTCAATACATTGTGTCCTTTCAAGGATTTAGTGCAAAACTGGATACGCAGAGCCCCCCCCCCCCCCCCCAGATGAGCCAGTCTAGTCTCACAAAGGCCAAAACTAAACATGTTTATATTTATTTTGTGTCAACCCGTAACATCATGAATGTAAGGATGGGAAATTGCATTTCTTCTGCCTGTCAGCCTGCTTATTATATACTGTCAGCTGCTTTGCTGTTCATCAGACATTCAGCCCTTTTCCTCTGACAGCCTGATACTTGCTTGTCCAAAAGAATCTCCGTAGTTTGTGCTGTCAGCATTTCAAGCTTTCGAGCCAATATACCATGAAGTACCACTGCTTTGGATTTCACACAGCCTGGTAATGGTTCATAACAGGGAGCATACTGGAGCAAAAGCAGTGACACGCTATCCGCGCTAATGACATTCTGGCTCCAATCTGCAGTAAGCTGATGACTATTTATTTCTATCTCTTGCAGATGTGCAGATGACAATCACTTCTCGATCAAAACCTTTAACATGAGCAACAAATCTGCTGATGCTGTACCATGAAAGCCAATCAGAGTTTTCATTGCATATTAATCATAATAAAATATTCACATTATAGTTATAGCAGCAACAACAGAGCACCAACAGTGTTTATTCATTTTTATTTACTGTTGTTTGTCTGCTTTATTCAGAATAGTCTGTACAAAACCATTTGCCCTGTTTAAATTATGTTTGCAATAAGTTTCTTGGTGACCCTCATGCAGGCCACAAACTGAAACCCGTTAGTCCTATAAAGTTAATAAAGTTGTTCTTCATACTGCAAGTGTTGCTGGAGCTTTTTGACCTCTTCAAGCCTTCGACTCTTTATGCACCTTGGTTGGTGAAGGTGTGCCAGAAAATCCCATTCTACTTCTTCAGAAATCAAATAAAGACATTGGGTTTAATAAATAGACAGACCTACTAACTGAAGGAATTTATTCATAATCCAGCTGCTAGTTCTCTCTGTGACTGTACAAAGCTCTCCAGAAGACCTGGCCTGAGAACTGTGGTTGCACACCAACTTTAAGCTAGTAGACTCCAAAGCTAACGTTAGCAAGCCAGCTAAGAACACACAACATGTGAAAAAGGCCGCTCTGTTGACTTCTTCTATCCATGAACGCTTCAGAATCCATTCAATGTCACAATGTAAATATGAAGTATATAAGATGATCAGGGTGGCTTCAGATCAGACGCCAAGACATTTGGTGGGGTTTAAAGTGAATCCATAAAGAACTCATCCACCTGACACGCTGAACCATTCATCTGCTTTAACCAAACCAATCTCCCAAATGTCACAGGAGGAAATCTGTTGTAGATCTTTCTTCATGTTGCATGTAGCTGCAGAAAATGTAAGTGCCAAACATGGAAAGGGGAAAACAGACGTACTGAAAAAAAAAGAATAACAAAGTCAGTGAGAGATCAAAGAAAAAGAGAGACAAATGTGTATTCAGCCAGATCAGCAAGAGGAGGAGAAAGCGAGCAATAATAAACTGCTCGAAAGAAACTTCCAACTTGAAATTAGCTCTAACTAATAAATTGTTGTTTACATGTTAAAATGTTCTGGAGCTCAGTCAGATTGGATGACGCAGCGTTTTCTGTCTCTAATATCAAAGAAAACAACAGCAGCTGTCAGGCGCTAAATTGCGGCTGCTAACAGTTTGTGACAGGAGTGGGAGGAAAGGTAGAGGGAAAAAAGCTGGAACAGGAATCCTGCACTTGAGGCTTTTGATATGTGTCAGCGAGCTGAATGTACAGAGGAGGGTGAGGAGAGGAAAAAGAAGGGATTTAGGATAGAAAGAAAAAGAGATAACCAGAGAGTGACAGGTAGATGAAGAAAGGGAGAGAGGGGGGCAGTTAAGGTAAATAAGATGTGCACAGAGGGAGTAAGAGAGAGAGCATGTACTTATTCTTGTAAGCCTTAAAGAAACTTACAAAGTGAATGCTGGGACTCTTTTGGAGTCTTGTGTCACAGGGAAGGTGCAAAAGAGTTCACATGCCTTTCAGCAAAAATCCCTCTGAAAATCCATCTTTTCATAGATTCAAGTTTGGGAGGTTCACTCAGAGGGAAAAGTTTAGGTCGGTAGAGCGAGCAGAAAAAAAACCCTTTTTGACAAAGCAGCAAGTCGTGAAACTGAACAAATTGATGAGTTATTTCTATGTGAATTCAAATACATCACCAATGCTTAAAAAGGAAAAAAAAGTCACACCTTTTCAATACTATTACTATGTTATATCTTACATTTATTTTGCATTAATGAATTCTGTCTTCTGTACCTGTTAGTTGCAGTCTTGATTCAAATAACCACAAATGTAATTAATTCACTTTGAGCCAGCCATGTAGCATAAATAATTTAAATATGGGTATTTATTTATTAACTTTTAGATCAGTATCTGTTTTTATTTTGTAATAGTGCTTTCACACTATAAGACTCATAGACATAAGACAATTCAAGACATAAGACTCCTGACTATTTTCCAACATTTTTGGGTGAGCAATATGTGTGATTGCAATTGGCTGAATTTTTCACCCAGATTTTATCCTGACAGCCCCAAGTAACATTTCCGTGTAAAGATATAGGCTTGAGCTGATGTGTGAACACTGCATGAAATATTCAGGAAACTTCAGGGGTTGATGGCATTTATCAATCAATCAGTCAATCTTTATTTATATCGCACCAATTTTTTACAAATGAGCAGGTCCAGACCTTACACCTTGTTATATTATTAACAAAGACCCAACATTACTCTTTGTTCAACATGAGCTCAGTTCTTGGCAACATTTTGCAAAGTTAGAGTGGCGAGGAAAAACTGCCTTTGGGAGTCAGAAACCACAAGCAGAACCAGACTCATGTTGAAGAGCCATCTGATGAAACTGTGTTTGGAAAGTGTGCTAGAGGGAGAAGCAGCATCATCACATTATGTAGTTGTCTTTTACTGACAACACGAGTCAAACTACACGTTGCATTGATATAAAAGCAAAATTGTCATCATAGTGTGGAACGCTGTTGCTTCTTCTGCATTTTCCCTTAGTTCTTAATATGACATGTCCTTCCACCTGAGACCCCCCCCCCACACACACACACACACACACACACACACAAATCATACACACTTCCGAGGGAAAGTCTCCTGCTTGGGAGGAACATGTGTGAGACGTGTGAATAAAGAAATCATGACGATTTTAGCGGCAGCCTGGCTGAAATTGACCACATTATCTTTTTTTCTTTGTCTTACCCTCAGGTGAAAGTGATGGTACGTGTGTGCCCAGTGTCTCAGTCCAATGCAGCAGAGTCCAGTTCCTTCCTTAAAGTTGATCCTAGGAAAAAACAAATCACCATCATGGATCCTTCAGCCAATCACACACCAAGCACCACCTCCCAGAAAAGGTTAGGAGCCAATCAGGTCCCTCCAAAGATGTTCACCTTTGATGCGGCGTTCCCTCCAGATGCTTCACAGGTAATAAACAACAAGCTACTCACATTTGATCTTGACCTAATGATCTTGATCTTCACAACTGTCTTTAATGTACCACTTAAATAAAGACGATTGCAAAGAAACACAAAAGGCTTGAATAATTCACATCATGATAAGCTTGCAGTTTTATTTCAAGTCAGAAATGTTTTGACGAGCCAAAATATTTCTCCAGGTTAAAAAACTTCTACATGTGTTGACAAACTGGTTACTAACTCTGGCACTTACATCAAAATGAAATCCCATATTTAAGAACTAAAAAGACATTTTGGGAAATAATGAAATACAATTTTTAAGCTGAGAGTTAAATGAAAAAACACCTTGACTGTCATGTCTGTTAAGTCAGCACCCACTTAGCTTAGGACATTTGAGCAGTTTGGAAGCATAGGAAAACAGCTAGCCCAGCTCTGTTCAAAGTCCAGCCACCAGTAGCCAGATGTCTCTGCATCCAGCCAGGGAATAGTTCCAGCGTGCAACACTTTATATCAACCACTCTTAGCTTTTGCTTGTGTAACGAATATATAAACAGGTAAAGGTATGTTTTATTTTTAAGGTTACTGTAACTATTGCTCACAGGACTCTGGACATATTCAGGCATCTCATAGATCGTCTGTGTTAATGCTAAGCTAACTGTCTCCTGGTTCCTGATTCAAACTTAGAAAAAACACACGAGTGGTATTGATCTTATCCTCTAACTCTTATTTAAAAACTCTTACTTCATAAAACAAGCTGAATGCTGTTTTTTTTGTAGCCTATTATTTTCTCTAGGTAGTGATCAGCCACACATGTTCAATAGAAAAGTTACTTCCGATTCAAAAGAAAATCACAAGGTGGGACTAAATGCTTTGAATTAAAAAAAGACTGACAAACAATTTTAATTTTAAATATCAGGGTGCTATCTCATACTTTCCATGCTGTTGAAATAGCATGAATGCAGCATTAGTGACACTAATGAGTCCTTATTTTTGAATCTACTGTGCACTCATGTTGGCAATCAAAAAGACATGTATTCACATGAAACATTCAGAAAACCTCACCAATGCTCAGATTGCCCAAATAACTCTTTACCTTCAGGTATTTATGCTGATTGTGACCATTTTCCTCATCTCTTTTCTTTCTTCTCTGTCTGCCTGTTGCTAGGCGGAGGTGTGCGCAGGGACGGTTGCTGAGGTGATACAGTCGGTGGTGAATGGAGCAGACGGCTGTGTCTTCTGCTTTGGACACTCCAAACTCGGTAACACTCTCACACACATGCACACAGACTGCAAATTATAGGAAGTGTGGCATGTGAGTCATCTTTTGAACATTTGTTTGACAGTGTGTCACTCGGCCGTGTCTTTCTGGCTCTCTTCTATCAGAGGGAGAAAGAAGAGGATTAGTGTCTGCTGAGGCTGAAAGCATCCTCAGTCTGCTCTGTCTGTGTTTCCCTCGTCTTTGCTCCCTCTCTAATCCCTCTGAGGATGGTTTTTAGAGAAGCTGTCTTAAAAAGGGTCAGGACCTCTTGCTGCACACTGCCACATATCCCAACCCACATACACAACCAAAGACTCACTACAAACACACACATGCACACACAGGTTTTTTTTTCCTGAATCCTGGGTCGGCCCCTGTTGTGTTTATCCCTGTACATGTAAGCAGCATTATCCTTCCTGGCTTGTGATCTTCATCCAATGTGTAAGTCCCCTTGAACCACAGGCAAAGGACAGAGCACAGAATTTAAATGCTGCAGTTCAGCAGGGACCACCCAGTGTTAAGGACGGAGCTATCTGAACAAAGAACAATTAAGTTAGATCTTAAAACCTGCAAACAACATATCTTACTCCATGGTAAACATGTAATATTGTCAGATAATTTTGGTCTTCTTCGGCTGGCTATTGAGTGAAAAAAAATTGCATGTTTTTAAAAAAAAACTCTTCAGCTCATTTATGTAACTCAGTGATTGCCAGGAAAAGACAAAAGAACAATCTAAAAGCATTCAGACAATTACTTGTTAAGTTTCAACAAGTTTACCTCCAGATAGGGTCGTGTAGATTCCAAAAGGAAATATTTAATTAAACAGCTGTTTCAGACTGTAAAATATTTTTGGACCAAATATATCAAAATCAGATTAAATATAGAGTCATTTGGGGTGCTATGTTGATGCACAATAAGTGTGTAAATCATTTAAAAAAGGATGACCTTTTAATGATTTTTGTTATGGGTCTGTGTGTGTGTGTTGAACAATTATACCAATATGTGAAAAAAGTCTCACAGCCATTCACTTCTCAAAGCAGTTAAGTATATTCTCTAATAAAAGGCATATAAAAAGGCACTGAAAACCATACCACAGGATGGTATTCTCTGTCAGAGAACACTTCTAAAGTTACACATGTACAGGACAGCACCACAAAGAGACAAGACAAACTGCTTTGTCCACAAGGGGCGCCAAAATCCACACGAGATAAAAGTTCCTCATAGTTGCTTTTACTAGGAATAAGAAAGATGGTAACTATAAAAGTGAGAAACAATTTCAACTAAAAAAAAAATCATTTAAATGAGGCTTCATTTTAAAGCTTCCCACATATTACATAGAAGAATGAATAACTCTGCAGAGAGCAGAACCTTTATCCTTCTCCCTTAATAAGGCCCTCGTTTGACGGATCAACCTAATGCACATATATACCACTGCTCTCAAAGACACTCCACAACGTGTCGACACAGACAGCCTGTCGAGCACAGTTTAAAGTTTCTCTCAATGCTCTCATGTTTTCAGCTTTCAATCTTGACCGATGAAAATGCAGACTGTGTCATTGTTTCTTACTGTGTAACATGACCATGACTTGAACTAATATGCCTCCAAACATGCCTCTGATTACCAGTGTTTGATGGGATGATAAGTGTGATAAAATCTTCTGGCCTTTAGAACGTAAGTGCTTTATATGACTGAGAAATCCATCAAAGACAGTTTGCGCTCTCAATCAGTTTTACTGTTTTAGTAATGCCATGGAGCCGCTCTGTCCTTGCTGCTGTTGCTGCAGATGAGATCATTCTTTGTGATATAGCTCACCTAGGGCCATGGAGCTTAATGAGGCTGCATTATAACGGTATTACCTCTTTCATAATTAAAATGGGGACTGTAACACTTAACACATTTATCTTCAGCCCTGTGGCCCTCGGCTGTAGACACTGAAGACACACAGAAAGTCTACTCATGTACACACACTTACACTTTCACAAAGAGCAGCCAGGTTTTTATTAAATTGGGAAAAATTAAATTAAAGTCCAAATAAAACTGAAATAAATGGATGAATTTAAGGAAAATAGTTTAATCCTCCAGTTTGCATTCATGTCTGAGGGATGTTGTTGTCGATTATTGGCCTAAGATGGATCATCTTTTAATAATGCTGATGCTAATGCTGAGTGTGTGAGTGTGTGTCTTTGAACCGATGATACACCGCTGCCTTGCTCAATTGCACACTCTCGCACATAATTCACTATCTCTCTGACGGTATCGGCAGCTCTGCTCCATGAGACCAATTACCAGGAATATACATCAAAGACACAGACATGGACACACATGCTGCCCTACAGCTTGTGGTGTTCATCACTGTGTTGGAGGAGTCAGATAGATGACCATATCTTGACGCCTGGGCGAGTCATACTAGCAGGAAACATTGTAGAGCCATACATCAACACACACACACATGATTCGTTTAAGTTGAGACTCACACTCAGAGAGAGTGTTATTCAAGAGCTCTGTTGTTACTGCGGTGACACTTCATGGAGCCATTATGACTGAGAGAGCTCATCTTATTTAATAAATGAAAATAGATCAACTGTTTAATCAGTGAAATGAAAGACCAGTGTTGCATTAAACAAGCTGTTATAAAGCAGTGTGTTGTCAGATTGAATGCTCTCATTAGCATTTCTTTAACAGCCTCTTGAGGTTTCATGACAGTGTGTGCATTAAGAGAACCATAAAAGGTTTCATTTGACCTCTACTAAAGTAGTATTCACTTTTAGGTTGGGCATGTTTGCTTCTCAAATCTCCTAATTTTTCTATGATTTTTTTTTTTTTTTACAAGTCATGAAATGCATCTTTGCTTTGACAAATAAATTGAGTCACTACAGGAACCACTCAGGGAGAACAATGTTAAGTTACAGTGTGAGTGACAACCTGCAACCCATCCTGCCTCTGAACAAATCTGAGCACATTTCTCCTCCCTGCATCACTGGAGTCAGGCTTTTGATGTGCTCTGATTCTCTGTAAGTGCTCGTGTCAGTGTGATTGTTAGTGATGACATATGGCTTTGTTTAGGTGTGTGTTTGATCTCCAACTCCTGACAGCAGGAGCAGTGTGTGTGTGTGTGTGTGTGTGGGATTAAATGGGAAACTGTCATCTTGTGTCTCAAAGGGACAGATTTGGAGGCTCAATGCGCACATGCATGTTCAGGCACTCAAACACACACTTCATGGCAGTCTCTTTTGATGATGTATATCTCCATCTTTAGGTGTTCACCCTTCCCCTCTTTCATCTCTCTGTCTCTTTCAGGTAAATCGTACACGATGATCGGCCGTGATGACTCTCTGCAGACTCTGGGTATAATCCCCTGTGCCATCTCCTGGTTGTTTAAGCTCATCAACGAGAGGAAGGAAAAAACAGGAGCACGCTTCTCTGTTCGAGTCTCTGCAGTCGAGGTCAGTGTTACAGACGAGACCTTCATTTGAAACATTCCCTGCAGAGTTAAACAGATCTGCCAGTCATGATGAACACATTTGAGGAAGAAAGTGAAATTAAAATGTGTGCATAATATTAAGCACCTCATAGTATTAGAAATGTCTTCCAATCACACTCAAAACTATGTGACTTTTGTTTCTGTTAAGTTTTCTGATCTAAAGCGTGATTATGAATAAAGCGTGGTTATGCTTAGCTAGCTGTTTACACCTGGTTTTAGCCTCACCTGCAGGCCAACTTTTGATGACCACAAATGTTTACTGACTTGATGCTGGAGTTGGATGTACTCACCATGATGATCTTTCTTCAGCAGCAGGTGTTGAGCGTTGGCAGGGGAGTTGAGCTCTTTAATAATATAACACTAGTTAATGCTACAGAGCCATTATTTAGAATTAGCGTCATAGCCTTGAGAACAAGTAGTGGCATCAGAGCTAACATTGCTTGTGTATGCTATATTATGGATAACAGAGCATTTTGTCACACACCATTGAAGAGTAATTTGAAAATGATATTTTCAGACGGCAGGTCTTCTGCTTCAGCCTCTGATTATGACTCACACGTTTCAAACCTATTATTAGAGCTGTGCTTGGCAGATGACAGTCAATATAAGTTGAGATCGGCGATGCCCACACCATCTTGAGAAGTGGACTTCTTGTTTTAGAGCTTTTTTTTCTGATACCAACTATAAAGCTTGTTTGCCTCATATTTTTGTGATTCTTAACTTTAATATCAATAAAGATTTTCCTGTAAGATTTAGTCTGAGATGTAGTTGGAAAATTATTTTGACTGAAAACAAGAAGTTTCTTCTATTAATTAGTGTGTACTGTATGTGTGTGTGTTTATGTGTGTGTAGGTTTGGGGAAAAGAAGAGAACTTAAAGGACTTACTATCTGAAGTAGCTACTGGAAGCCTACAGGATGGACAGTCACCTGGAGTCTACCTGTGTGAGGACCCCATCTGTGGCATGCAGGTACACACACAAACACATGGAATCCTTCAACTGAGTGCACGCACAGCCTCACACCTCGTAATGATAAGACGTAGACCTTTGTGTTTTTTAGCCTTAGGCCGTTTCTGTTGTCTTCAGTAGGAGCAGAACTGCACAAGCACAGACAATCACCCAGATGAAATGTGAGAGCTTTAATATGCCGTTCTTCTAAAATAAGCACCTTTTAAACAGTAGGTTTAGAAATAGCTGACTCATTGATTCATCTTTTAAACTAAAAATAGAGAGTACTGACTTTGACTTGCCAATTCAGAATCAAAGAACAAGACACAAAGTAAGGAAGAAAAACAAAACATGTATTTTTGTCTGTTTGTCTTTTCTTTTTTAAATGTACCTTTAACTGATTAATGACATTATTGTGTTTTATATTTACTGAACAATCCGCTCTGAAGAGCATAACTGCAAGACCACACAGGACTGCTGCATCATTGCAATTAAAATTTCAGAGAGAACTTTTCTTAATAATTGAGATAGGAAATACAAGTGGCCATCAGGGTGCCCTGTGCACAGCCGAAACACGTTCTCAGGTGAGCGCGGTTGCAGGAACATACCACAGCCACAGAGCTTTGATTTATTTTTCATTGGAAATATCAATGTTTTGAATTCTAAGAAAAACAGACAGTGATATTATTATTATTATTATTATCATTATTATTATTATTATTATCATTATTATTATTATTATTATATTAGCAATCTCACAACAATGGAAGTTTAAATATTTAACATTGTAGTGTGTGGATGTAATGTGGATGCAAAAAACAAAACAAAACAAGATAACAGAGTGTGTGCGTGTGTGCGTGTGTGTGTGTGTGTGTGTGTGTGTGTGTGTGTGTGTGTTTTTTGTGTTTGGTGGGGTGCCTAGAGCTATATGTTTATAGGATTATAGGGTCTGATTCAAACACATCTGTGTAATCCTTAACTAATCTGACATAATCTCATCAGTAATGATATCCTGCAGAAACACACACACACACACACACACACACACACACACACACACACACACACTGTCTCTCTCTTCCATCGACGCTCTATCTGTCTTGCATACCTGCAGACAAATTAGAAAATTCATTATCTCAATATGCCAGTCCTTCCAGTACATGCAGGGTCGTCATTGTGCACATTATTATCTGTGTTTGAACACTTCTTGGCAGGTAAACCGAGCCCCCCTCAGCTAAAGACTAAACTTCCTCTTCTCTGGCTCTTTGTCCATTTTTTTTAATGCCCATGAGGAACGTTTTCACATGTTTTTCTGTGTGCATGTTTTCCAGCTACAGAACCAGTCTGAACTACGAGCTCCGACCCCAGAGAAGGCAGCCTGGTTTCTGGACGCAGCCATCGCAGCTCGCCACAACAGCCAGCGGCTCAACACCTCAGAAGAAGAACACAGGAACTCACACATGCTGTTTACGTTACACATATACCAATATCGCATGGAAAAGACGGGCAAAGGAGGGAGTGAGTACTCTTTGTTCTTTCACTGGTATTGTCATTACCTTTATCAATCTATAATAATTACTGTAGTCATTGTTTACCTTTCATGAAGTAACACTAATAAGTTACACTTGCACTACTGTTGCTGATTGTTCACTATTAGCAATCCCGTTACCAAAAAACACAGTGTCAGCAGTGAGTCGTACAAATGTCAATCGTTGTAGGATGTATACAAACATGTTATGTTCTATCAAATATGATTTCACCACAGAAATAAACAATAATGATTGACTGATCAATTCATTACCTAAAGCCACCATGATGAATAATAAATAAGTTAAGCATGAGAATTGTTGACACATTTGTATGTGAACCTGTCAAACTGTTATATATAGACTCTGTGTTAACATTAATTTACATTTACATCACAAATGCACACATATCTACATACATTACTGGCTATAGGAGTTATTTTTTTGTGTTTGAGAGAAAGTGACAGATGAAGCTGAGCAAAGCATGACAGCTAATAATCACTTTTAGTGCTCAAAAGGCTGCATGCATATGTGAGAGAACAAAGCAGAAATGTTTGTGTGCATGTACACGAGCATTTAAAACACATATATCACATGGAGGCAGTGAAGATGCTTGTGAATGGCAAAAACAAGTAAAACGTGTTTTCACCAGGAGTTGTCCTCTTACTCGGCTACAGAATTCTATTAAGGAAAAAAAAAAATGGATTCTGAAGTCAAGCTTCAGTCTGTGAACATGTTAGTACTGATTCTTGTGAATAATTTTTGAAATATAAATATTTGAAAATATAAATAACTAAGGTGCACATTTAGTGGAATACATTCTTTTTGGTCTGTTCTCCTTAAAATATCACAACAACCTCTACATTGAGTGTAAAAGAGTGTAAAAGTCTAAAAATTAGACTTGCTAAGCTAAAATTAACTGGAATGTTTCATTTAATGTATTCTACTACATGTATTTACCCCTGTTTCTCTTACTTTCTTCTCTTCTTTCTTCTTCCACTTATTTTTTGACCTATTTTGTCAACTTCGTCAGTGTCAGGAGGGCGCAGTCGCCTCCACCTGCTGGACCTTGGCAGCTGTGATGTGAAAGTACTTGGGGGAGTAGGAGGAGGGAGTGGCGGGAAAGGCAGGGAAAACTCTTCACCCAGCTCGGCCCCTCTGTGCCTCTCTCTGTCTGCCCTCGGAAACGTGATCCTGGCCCTGGTCAACGGGAGCAAACACATCCCATACAAGTAAGGTGGTGTCTGCCAATGTGTGTGTTTGAGAGGAGAGGAGAGGAGAGGAGGGGAGGGGAGAGGAGAGGAGAGGAGAGGGGAGGGGAGGGGAGGGAGGAAAGGAGAGGAGAGGAGAGGAGAGGAGAGGAGAGGAGGGTAGGGGAGGGGAGAGGAGAAGAGGGGAGAGGAGGGGAGGAGAGGAGAGGAGAGGAGGGGAGGAGAAGAGAGCAGAGGTTCAGGTAGGAAGAGAAAAGAGGAGAGGAGTGAAGGATGACATGAGGAGGAAATAAGTCTGTTTTCTGAGTTTGAGAAGGAAATGGAGAAAAGACTGTGAGATCCCTCAAGTTGTTTTAGGTTTCAGGGACTTAATGCTATAAACAACAACAGCTGCTGTTACATATTCATCATTTTCACTTTGCTGCTTAACTGACTGGCAATGAGAGCAAAGAAGAGAAAGAGGAGAAAGAGGAGAGAGGGAGGGAAAGAGAGAGCGTGGCACACAGAGGGAGGGAGAGAGAGAAAATACAGGGGGCACTGTAGTAAGAGGTAAGCAGTAAGCGGGTAGTGAATGGCAGCACATGATAAAGAAAACATGGTAATTTCTTTAATAAAGTTAAGTAAGCCTATGCACTAATGAGCATGTACAGTTTTTTGAACAAACTGATATTGCCCCCATTTCACCTTTCTCTCTGTTTAATTGCTCTTCTCCTTCAGGGCTGTATCTCTGTGCTTCGCGTTGAGTTACCGTAATTTAATCACCAGCTTTTGCATTTACATTCCAAAACAGCCTGCAAGCTATCACTGAAGCTGCATGCTACGTTCTGCTCAGTCTCATCTGGCATGGCTGTTGGGGATTTGGACTGGTTTAACAAAGATGCTGTGTTACTGCCACTTCTCTCAAACCAAAGACCAAGAAGAAGTCACAGAATCACTGAGCAGAGGTTACAGAGCACATTGAAGCAAACGTGACAATCTGTGGAGACGAGTGGGAGCTGCCACTGTGGGGCTGTAGTCAGTTAGACTGGCTAATAGCAATAAATGAGTTCGAAGTGGCTGTCGGTGTTTTGGAGCCTAAGCTGAATGATCAATATCCTTTGCTTGTAAGAAACAGAAGTAGTCATCATACTGTCAAAGGATTGAGTAGGAAACCATGAGAAACAAAATAAACAGCAGGTCCAGATATGGACAAAAAAAGTAGAGACCAGAGAGTCATGGTTATTAATATTAACTCAAAAAGCAAACATTCACCCCTTATATGGAATATACATGTCAAAATGTAAGCATCTGGAGATCACAAATCTTTCACAAAAATGAGGAATTGTTTGAATCTAGTTTGCATGCAAGAACTCTGTTTCATTAATTTCTTCCCACTTAAAGGCTCAACCGGTCTGTCAGTGCTTCATTACTTTTGGGATGTGTTCCAATCCTGCTCTTTAATCCCTGTCGCGTTTCAGTGCTGTTGCTAGGTAACAAGCGATTTTATGGCAGATTATGAGTAACACAATGGACATATGTAGCAACCAAGTTCACGAAAAATGTGCAGACAGTCGTCTGTCACCACCAAATCAACAACTTGGATCCAATCCTCTCGACATGATGCCAGACAGTGTTGCTGTACCCATGTTTCAGACACAACATGCTAATGTAGATTTAGAGGCTCTGCACACATTTACTCTTCAGGGACTCTGTTCAGCTCCTTGTCCAAAATTAGACCACTTGCCATCTGGTTTGCTGTATCGCTCTCCTGGCAAGGTCCCTCTTCAGTCATACAGCTCCCTGATCCCACTGCCACCTTCATTCCTGAACTGTCTGCAGCCTCTGTCAAAAGAGACAAGTCAGGGACAAATTTAGCTGTAATCTCCAATATGCCAAATTTCTTAATATTTGCAATGCAAGAGCAATCCTGGTAATGCCAAAAATTTGCAAACAAACTATTCCTTACCCCTGGTTTAAACGCTGTACACTTGTATCTGTGGCAGAATGTCCTCTCACACTGTATAACTGAATTGTTTATGACCCATGACTTAAACTCACGATGTTCAACCGGATTGAGTTCACACTGTACAAGGGCAATCAGGACTATCAATCACTCTCTTCACACACACACACACTCTTCATCGTTAAAAACACAAGTAACTAAATCATAACATATAAAACCTGTCAGCTGGTGATCTGCAGACATTTCCTGCCAATGTTTCTAACATGACCCAAGGGAGAAGACAGACTAAACAGGCATAGTTGCTGTTGCTATGGTAATTTTGGACACTGTCTGTCAATTTGTCATGGAATCGCTGCGCAGTCGTACATCACAAATATCAAACATGCCAGAAAATCAGCCGACCGGCCGGGAGCAGCTGATCGGGCTGTGATCAGCCGTTGTGCCTCAGAGTACTCTTTACGACCGACCAAGCACAATCGACTGAAATTCGGTCCGACTTCAAAACCAGATGTACGATTTAAAAACTGTCCTGAAACCGTACAGTGTATACCCGGCCTTTAGTAATGTGGCTTCTTGTTTCTCTTAATGATAGTGATATAGGAATTCAAATGTGCAAAAATGACAGGCTAGTTTTAATCATAAAGAGCGTCATATTAACCTTTGTAGCTCTTCCTAGAAAAAAAATCTAATGAATCTAGCACAGTCTGAATTAACATGCAAATGAATACTTCATGACTCATGCATTTACCTACTTTAATCTCAGGCAGAGATATTCAGAGATAGAGAGAGACTGAGGCAGAGAGGAAAGGGTTTGTTAAAGCCTGAGGCGGCGCACAGAGAGAGAAGAAATGAGAGGAGAACAGTACAGCATCGACAAGAAGGAGGAGGTCAAGATAGAAGTGTGTGCATACTGTGCGTGTGTGCATGGGAATGTACACATATGTGTGTGTGAGACAAGCCTGCAGGCTGTGTTTTTAGAAAAGGGGGACAGCAGCGTGAGGCATCGGGCCACAGAGGAGCTTTACTCACTGTCAGCCTGCAGGCCTTAACACACACATATATACATATATACACACACACACACACACACACACACACACACACACACACACACACACACACACACACACACAGGCTGTGAATGATTGCAGCGGCCCACCCAGGAGAAAGTCTTTTCTTAAACACACAGCCTACTTTAACTCTCCCATCTGCTATTATAATCTCTGTGAGATGTAGACCATCTCCCAATATTAGACTACATAATATTGAGAGAGCTTCTTTTAAAACTTTGTTAGCTTTAGCCCGGAGTACAAACCTTTCATGTGTTATAAAAGCACTTATTTATAAACATAATCAATAATTACAATTAACTTTGCTTTAGCTTCTTAATATTAATATGTAACACCATTTGCTCCAACTTGTGGAAATTGTTGAGCGCCAAGGATGAGCTATGAATAAGCCTTTGTCAAATTTGAGACGTGTGGGCGTCTGCTGGAAAATCCACCACTTTTTGTCACACTTTTGAGTGACTATGTGCATTTACAGCGGGTCTTAAGCGCTCACATCTCGCTGTATGTGTGTTACCAGGGAAAGCAAGCTGACCATGTTGCTAAGGGAGTCGCTAGGCAACATGAACTGCCGGACCACCATGATTGCTCACATCTCCGCCTCACCCAGAGATTTCTCAGAAACGCTCTCCACCATCCAGATCGCTTCCCGAGTGCTCCGCATGAAAAAGAAGAAAACTAAAGTGACCGTGGTGAGTTTGAATTAAACCATGATGCTTGATTAAAATGTGATCTGATAACTCTCAAACTTTAGGTACATTAAGTTCAGATAAAGATAATGAAAACTACTGGTAAGATTTATAACTGACTTTTAATTAGTGTCCAAATCTTGAAACACATTCATCCTGCACATTTGCTGGACATTGCTCTGCATAATGTTTCATTTGTGTAAGTCATGGGAAAATCTTAGTTTTGTTTAACTTACTGCAGAAAACTAGAAATAATGAAAAGATTGTGCTCCAAACATTATACATCTATTGCCTCCACTCCGTTTCAATCACCACATGAGCCTGAGGTGCTGCTAACACTACCACCTTTCACTTCTCATGCTCACTTCTTTAAAAAAGGAGGAAAAGGGGTGATGTCTTAAGAGCTATAAATATAAATCTCCAACTGGAGAGAGATGTAGTCATGAGAAACCTCCAATGCGGGTCTGTAATAGAAAAAGTCTAAACTAAATTAAATTACAGTTCTTATCTCCAAACTGTTTTGTAACATGGCTCAGGTGCATGATCCTTATAGATGTGTGTGATTTTCTCACTCTTCCCTCTCTCTCCTGCCTCTAACTGTCAATTAAATTATAAAAAAAAAAAAAATCTCTCTCTGCATTTTCTCTCTCACCGCCCAACTCTGCCTCATCCTCGTCTGTCTCTTCCTTTCCTCAGCAATACACCTCCAGCTCATCTGGAGGAGAGAGCTCCTGCGAGGAGGGTCGCATGCGGCGCCCTACCCATCTGCGACCTTTCCATCACCGTGGCGATGCTGACTCCGACCTTCAATTGTTAAGGCTGTCCAGCGACCCTGACGAATACTCGAGCAGCGAGCAGTCGTGTGACACGGTTATCTACGTGGGCCCAAACGGGGCTGCGGTGTCAGATAGAGAACTGACGGACAATGAGGGACCGCCGGAGTTCGTACCCATCATTCCTGCTCTGCTCAGAGGCAAAACATCAGAGCAGCATCAAGCTCAAAGTCAGGCAGGCGGATCACAGAACAAGGTCATTTAAAAAGATTCAAACAATCAGCAGGGATAAGATGGAGACTTGTACTACATGAGATGTCTTCTCACTGCCATCTGATATTTGTTCTTACAGGTGCAGTCTCAGCCTGAGGAGCAGCCAAGTGCCCCTACTCAGCCCCTCCCTCAGCCTGCTCAGTCATTGCTCGGACAGCCACTGCTCGGACAGCCATTGGCCCCCGTCCCAGAGGAAGCGGCTGAGTGCCTCAAGTGCAACACCTTTGCTGAGCTGCAGGAGAGACTGGACTGCATCGATGGCAGCGAGGAGGTGACAAGAGTTTATCATATAAAGGAAAACACTATTTACAATTAAAAGAAATGTTTGCGCAGCAACTTGTTCTTCAGCTTTTTATGTTGTGTGCAGCTGAGATTATTATTTATTCTCATCCAACACCACTAATCTTCTCTTGAATAACTCTTTGCTTTTATTATAAAATAAAGGGACATATGTGGAGTATTAACTATAGAGATCCAATCACACCATCCATGGCATTCCCATATGAAAAACAGAGATTCATCATCATCTGTCTTCTTTTTCAGGTGGCGAAATTCCCCTTTGAAGAGGTTCCAGCAAACAAACAAGGTGCCAAACAAGACCAGTGTCCTTCTTCACCTGTCCCAAACTCTTCTCCCTCTGCTCCCAGCTCTGCTTCGGCATTGGATAAAGAAACCATCACAGGTACGTTAGTGACTTCATAAGCTGTAAATGACTTGTTTCCTTCATTTTAAAAAAAATGGGGAAAAAGTTTCAGAACGGGCGCTCAGTGGCTCTATACACTGTCCTATCTCTCCATTAAAGGCACAAAAGGCCCAAAAATAAACGTTTTAAAAAAAACAAAAAAAACAAAAAGAATCAGAACAAAAACTTATTTTTAAGACTTCATTTGACCAGTTTTACAGTTGTAGTTCTGTATTTCAACATCTGATCAAGTTGTTTACTACAGTTGTTGCAAACAATGTATGTCCGATGTCGAACATCCCACAGGCTCTGCAGGTTGTGTAGGAAGTGCAGTGCAGTCGTCCAGGAGGACCAATGACCAGCAACTTCAAGAGATCAACGAGGTGGTGGAGGAGGCTGAGCTGGCAGGGACCATGATCCACAACCTGACTCAGAGTTCTGGTTCCACTATAGTCACTAGTACAAGGAGCATCACAGGAAGTAACTGCATCACCTCCAACGCACTGCACAGGGCAAAGAGCTCAAATCTGCATGACAGGCAAGGCTGCACTTTGGGTTTGATTTAGGGGCAGTACTTTGCTATTAGTCATTTGAGTATATTCGACTTGATTTGATGTTATGTGACCTTTATTGTCCGTCTGAACAGCCCTGAGAGTCTGAATGCGTGCAGCAACACTGATGGGAAGGCACGCCCACTAGGATCACCTCGCCTCGGCATCGCCAGTTTGACAAAAACCTCAGACTACAGGTAAAGCTTTAACAAAATGTAAAAAAAGAAATTTCTTGCTAATCATCCAATATTACTCTAGGAATTTGTAAAATGTGTAGATTAGGTATAGCAGCTTAATGTTAGACCCTTGTATTCCTCCTCAGGCCTCCATCCTCTCCGTCCCAGCGGTGTAAAGTTTACACACAAAAAGGTGTGATGCCGGCAACACCCCCTCTGTCCTCGCACACTCTGGCTCAGGAAGGCCAGCAGATCACAGAGGCGCTGACATCAGACAGTATGTATCCTACAGCATGTTTATGATTTAAAAATATGCTTTTAATTCATGTTTGATAGTTATGTTGATAAATGTAACTCTTAACTACCCACTTAAAATATGAAGCTTGTTCTCATTTTGAAACTTAAATCATGGCGCAAATAGATTTGTACTGCAATGAGTCCATCCCATCCATAGTTAATTGAGTTGATTGCTTAATTAATATGATGAGCCAAGTAGCTCATCATATTAATCCAAAATCCAAATAACAGAATATATGCAAATCTAAATAACACAAGATATGCAAATATAGTATGATATGCAAAAAAAATATGTATTTGTGATTGTGCAGACAGTTTGGCTGCAGACAGCGGTCGGTCCTCCACTGAGTCTGTGCTGTCCAGGACTTCTCCTGTGGGCATGAGCCCACAAATCAAAGAGCCGACTCCATCTATGTCTGCCAGCCTGGGCTCAGCAGAGACTCTCTGTGACGATGATGTCCCCCCCATTCCATTGGATACACACAGGGATGGTGAGTTTGCAGAAAAACACAACTATTTTTGCACAAGGCAAATTAAGTGATATGAGTCATGTGCAAAAAATATGTAGACAAATAAATACTGAACAAAAATGGACAGGAATAGAACAACTCACACTCTGCTTCCCTGCAGCCTGCGGGCCGGCTGTAGCTGTAGCTACAGTTGGACCTCTCTCACATGTGGAGGATGAGCTGGTTTACACTGTGGCCTCTGGAGGTGAGGAGAACCTCAGCATAACAGCTCTCATGGAGTCTCAGGGTCTGACCTGTGGTCCAATGAGCATTGTCAGCTTCAACAGCAACTGCTGCTCTGTCACAGACCTGGCCTCAGGCTCCGAGGCTGTCTGCATCATCAGTGGGGCTGCAGAGGACGGAGCTGTGAGGGATTATCACATGCCTGCAGGTCCTGTGACAACCTCAGGGGTTACAGAGGTTGTTGCCATGGCAGAGGTTAGTGAGGAGCTTTTAATGAAAGCATAAGAACTGAATGCATGTCTGAACACTGATGGGAAAATCTGTCTCATAATACCCATTGTCTGATTGGCTTATTGACGCAGTAAGTTCATTACAGTGGATTATAAACCTAATAATCCTTTTTTTTCCGTTTAATGTTTCACATAATCAGAGTGGATACAATTATATCACATTCAGTGTGCTGTGTTGAAGAATTGTAATATAGGAAATATGAAATAATTGGGAATGCTGTTGTACTGAATATCAGAACAGCTGTGATACGGTTGGGTTTTGAAAATGATCACTGCACTAAAATTCTCTAACATGCTGTACAATAGACCTCAAGTCTACTATTGATTAAATACAATAGTTCTGTAAGCAGCATATATAATGTTCAACAACAGATTTTTATTATTTGTTTATTTTATCTTTCATTTGGCTCCACCAACACAACTACTTCTGCAGTATTACTGGCACACCTAAACGGATTGTCTCCTGTTGTAGGTGGCGATGGCTAAGCTGCGAATAGAAGGTGAGGCCCTAGCATCAGTGATGTCCGGCTGTGGCTCACCCATCTCTTCCTGGATGAGTGATCTGAGCATGTGCAGTGAAGGCGACCAGTCTCTACACAGCTTCAGTCAGTCTCAGAGCCAGCAAGGGGAGGCCCTTGCTGAACCTGAACCCAACCTTTCGTTCGGGGTGGAGGGGCTTGGACTTTATGACGGCTGTGGCAGCCCAAGGAGAGGAAGTGTGGAAGGAGAGGTGGTGCTGTCAGAAACCGGAAGTGACAAAGGAACTCCAACCAAAGACAGGCTGAGGAAAATGCCTCCATCCATGGCTAAGACTAACATCCAGATTCTAACAGGACCTGGTAACCTGTCTCCCTTCAAAACCACCATCAGTGTGCACCCATGTGTGGTGGTCAAACCCATGCTTATACAGGAACCAACCAGCCTCTCTTCTCCCACAAAGACCAGCTTAATAAAAGACCATGGCAAATTTAACACAACACATTTAGCTTCTATTTCCAGTGAGATGAGCTTTGAAGATCCCTGGTTGAAGCGTGGTGGGGAGGAGGTAAAGTCTAAGGAGTTTGTGTGTGAGGTGAAGCCCGGGAAGAGGGAGTCGGAGCAGCCAAAGAGCCAGAATGGAGGTGTGATGGGGGACCAGCGGAGCTTCTGCAGAGAAGGTGAGTGGGGTCAGAATCAGATAATATATCCAGCTGGAACGAAAGATCTACCCAGGCAAATTTGCACAAACTCATAACCACTTCATTTCTTTTTACTGGTCATGCTAGTAATATATATTTGACTTGCTACACACAAGACCGCTTCAAATTCCATTTTAAAATGCTTCTTTATGGCCAACAAAGTTTTTCAATTCCATATGAAGACTCAAGGAATAAATATTTGTTCAATTATTTTTGTGAAATAACAAAGTTTTCAGGGGTTTTTTTTCAATTCAAAGTGTTTTGTATTTTAGTATAACTACTATAATATACTATGTTTTTCTTATTTTCTATGGTTCCTTCATCAGGTGGGGATCACGGCAGCTCCAGTTCAGGGGGGGAGGTTGTGTCGTCTCCAGATTCCTTTAAGCGAGTAGTAGACGGCTGTGAGATGGTGGCTGTTGTTGCCCAGGGAGACTGCCTGACTAGTATCTACAGCCCAGATATCCATCGCACTGCCAGTCTACCCCGCGGCTGGCACCGTATCAACCGCCACGACGGCTTAGACAATGGAAATGAGTACCGTAATCTTGGCGTCACAACTTCAACTCCCTGCAGTCCCCGCGCCACACTCGATCGCCGCGGATCAACAGGCAAACAGGGTTTCTTCTCCAACAAGAAGGGGGGAATCCCACCTCTGCCGCCCGTACGGAAGTCCAGCCTGGACCAGAGAAACAGAGCAGCCAGCCCTCTCCACCAGCTCAACCACGGAGTATCATCACTGAGCTCAACAGATGATGCTGGGGTGTCTGGATGTGGCCCTGCAGGTGTCACCAGACAACAAGGCTCCAACATCGACAGCAGCAGACTTTTCAGCGCCAAGTTGGAACAGCTTGCAAACAGGACCAACTCTCTGGGTCGGGTCCACAACTCCAACAGCGGTTCCCACCACTATGACTGCTTTTCTCTGGAGAGGGGGGGCAGCCTGAGAGGAGGAGGTGGAGGAGGAGTGAGGGGGGACAGCACTATGCCTCGTACGGGGCGCAGCCTGACACGTGCTGGATCAGTCTCTTCTCCTACTGGAAACCCCAGCAGCCCCACTTTAAGTGCCAGTCCTGGTCTAAGCAGTGCTCCACAGTCACCCGCCAAAACCAGCAGCCAGTCAAAAATTTCAGCAGTCAGTAAGCTGCTGATGACCAGCAGCCCCAAAGCCAGGAGCCTGTCTACCTCCAGCACCAAGACCCTCAGCTTCTCCACTAAGTCTTTGAGCCAAGCTGCCAGCCGCAGCTCCAGCCTCCCTCCAAATGGAAAGGTAGGAAGAAATTCCCTACTGTTATTAAACACACTTTTAACACCTGGAAGATGCATGTCTTCCCTCATCAGATTTAGTTTAAACCAGTATCAAACCTTCCTTTGTGTTTTACACAAGAACAAACAAATCAATTTATTATTAAATGCAAGACACTCAAGCTGTCATGGCCTCCTTTTTTCCTTACATCAACCCTAACCTTGACTGTTTCCTCAGCCCCAGAGTTCAGTCCAGGGCCCGGTGCAGCAGCAGCAGCAGCAGCAGCAGGGACCCGCCCCGGGATCCTGGTCTACCCAGTCTTTAAGCCGCAGTCGAGGGGGAAGCCTGGCTGCCAAGTTGCCTCTCAGGGCTGTAAACGGTCGGATCTCAGAGCTCCTCCAGGGAAGTGCAGGCCCCCGTTCCAGGAGTCATGCCCAAGGAGGAGGCACGGATCCAGGAGAGGAAAGAGGAACTGGAGGAGCAAGGTCAGTCAGTTAGACCTTGTTTGGTTTTAAAGTTCAGGCATATATTTGGATGTCCTAAACAAGATATTCACACAAGTGCAAGCCTCATAGAGCCTTTCATATGAATGTACTTAATTACACAATGATAAGTATGATCAGCAACCAGGATTCTGAGTGGTAGACACCATTCATTTGTTATGTAATAAAACCAATAATATCTAAGCCAGCAACACTATTTGTGATGTTTGGGAATCCTGTAGGTGTAAAATTCAAACTGTAAAGTCAGCAGTTTTTCCTCATCAACTATGTCAGAATAGAGAAATTACATTGAAACATACTTGAAAAATAATCTGTTTATTATGGTTTAAACTTTTTTAAACTATTTCCCTGCTCTCAGTGGAGGGGGAGCAGCACCAGGAAGTGGAGGTGGAGGAAGTCAGGTGGAGGAGAGAGCAACAGTGGTCCAAACGCTTCCCTCTCCCTACAGCAAGATCACAGCTCCCAGAAAACCACACCGCTGCAGCAGCGGACATGCCAGTGACAACAGGTAAAACCTCAAGTTTACTGGGAAATAAAAAAGTTGAATATATATTTACGTATATAAATGTTTTGCCTTCAACTCTGAATCAACATTGCCTCTAACAGCAGCGTACTGAGTGGCGAGCTCCCCCCTGCCATGGGAAAAACAGCCTTGTTTTACCACAGTGGAGGCAGCAGCGGCTATGAGAGCATGCTGAGAGACAGCAGCGAGAACACAGGAAGTACCTCCTCCGCTCAGGACTCCCTCAGTGAGCACAGCTCAGCCACCACCTCCTCCAGACGGAGCTCCAAGAGCAGCAAGAAGAGCAGGAGCAACACAGGTCCTCATTTTTTACACATTTAAGCTATTCCTGAAATGAATTGAGTATGAAGGAGGGAGAATGGGGGTCAGCTGTGGCTCTGTGGTAAAGCTGGTTGACCATCACGTTGTGGTTTTTACTCTCCACTTGTTAAAGTGCCCTTAGGGAAGCAATTCTACCTAAAGTTACTCCTTTCACTGAGGTATAAAACATTTACCGTTTTACTGTTTATCGTGGGAAGTTTGAGTTTTGAGCAAACAGTTTGGGAACATTGCTGTTAACTTCATCGTTTACAACAATGAGGCACAAGATCAAAATAGAGAGTTTCATTACATTTGCCAAAGAGCTTTGGCAAATAAAATCATCCAGCTTTGCTGAAGAAACCCCAGATTGATTCTGTAAAAAAGGTTCTTAAATGTTTTAGCTATGACAACCAGGTCATAAGGAGAAAGCTATGAGTGTGGTCTAAATTCAATAATGTAAAAGTCAGAAACAGCAAACACCACTCTACAACCTCAGTCAAACCTGATAACATATTATCAGAAGATGCCCAACCCTTAAAAAAAAGAAAGAAACAGCTAAGAAAGTAATACCAAACTGAAAGAGCTCTATGAGGAGAATGTTTTGGTGAAAAGGCAAAGAAAAGGTAAGGGCATAGTGAATAAAAGCTGTGGTTGCAGAAGGAGCCAGGTGAGTAAGGTGACCCTGACCACTCATGTGTGAAATGGTTAAAGGAATCTGCTGGTGTAGCTGTAATGAATATATATTCACCAGCACACCACACAGAGCGGCTGCTAATGTGCTCGCCAAATTGCACTCTGCTGGTTTTCCATGAGGATGGATATGTGCATAAAATCAGATTGGACAGAGTCGGCTCTTCCTGGTGTGTTTGAATTGGATAAACCTTATGTGCAGGGTGCATGCCTGACCCCACCATGACTTGTGGATGTGCTTTTATTTAGCTTTAACCACAACTGATTCAGTGCTTCAATGAGATAATAGAAGACTGTGGAGACAGAAATGTCAATCACATCTCCAATGAGTCTCTCTTTGCACTTGATCTCCATTTGATTACATTCCCTATCTTTCCTCATTTTTTCTTCCATGTCTCTACCTCTGCTTTTTTTAAAAATCTTTTCGTCTCATGCATTATCCAACTCATTCGTCAAACTCTGTCCCCTGACACCCTCTCCTCCCTGCAGACCCTCATTCTTTCTCCATCTACTTGTATTCCACATTCTCCATAATGAAATACAAATGTCTCTGCTTGGCCTCTCAGTGCCACATTGAGACCAAAAGACAGCTGCAACCTTATTAAAATCCCCAGTTTCTCTCTGCACACCTTATCTCACACTTCCTGGTGAATCTGATAACTCTCAGTGCTGTCCTCATGGCTGGCAATTTCAATGCATTGCACGTGTGCGTGTACAGTCTGAGTGTGTGTGATCACTCTAGCATGGTGGGCAGATTAGAGAGTGACCCACCGCTCCTATCTATGAGCTTCATGAACAGAGATGAAACTGTATATCTGGCTTCACACTCCATTATCTGTTTCTCCCTCTATTTCCTCTTTTTCAATCAGTCAATACTTTTCTTTTATCCTTCCTTTCTGCCCCACGCTTTAGTGTTTCATCCGTCTCATCTCTCTCCGTTCACTCCCATCATCTCTTTTCTTGCTTCTTCTACTCTGCTTCTTCTTACCCATGTGCTATCTTTCCACTTTCCTGTTTAAGATACAAATTCTGAGGAAAAACACATTTTATAGGGTGAACAAGTAAACAACCATAGTGACATTAAGTTTGACTGGAACTATAGTAGCCTATGGTTCTGATTCATACAGTAACGTGTGCAGCTGAATTTTTATTTTTTTTCTGTTATCAACTTTTCTTTTACAATCTTTTTTATATTGTGTTTATTCATGTTAAAATTATAGGCTGTTTAATTATAGACGTAATCTCAGTGACACCATCCATTGGTTTCTGAAGCGGCGTATTGAAGCCCAACAATGGCAGTTGCCATATCGGAGATGCTATATCCGTCTACCTTTTACCAAAACTCTTAGCCTCATTTGAAGAGTTGGATGAGGGGATCAGTAGCACTCTAATATCTGTTGACCATAGAGCTACAACGACAGTAGCTAGGCTTAGCATGTTGTGGTGACAAAAAAGCTAGCTTTACTCTTTAACCAGAGTTGACAACATTTTCCTACCTTCACCTCTTGATTGCACATCTATATTTTGTTTAAATCCATACAAAAAAAATAAAAACAGGTCAACTTGTATTAGGTGTATTTTTATATAGTTGCTGTGAGGTTACCATGTAACCTGTAATCTTCTTGTAAGGCTAAGCTAACTAGCTGCTGGCTTTGGAATTATAAAGGGCCTTTAAAAATCCCCAACAGTTAATTTAATAGTAACAAAAAGATAAACCGTATTGGGCTTATTTAGCCTACAGATAGCCTTAACAAACTTTTCTTTCTGTAACATTTGAGGGACAGAATATTCTTGGTTATTCTTCATTATGGTAGTTTTGAAGGAACTTAGAGAACATATCATGTTGTATCTGGGCTTTGGTCCACATGGATCATTCAGAAGACTATAGACTATGGGCTAGAAAGAGGCATACTATTTAGATAAGGAAAAATGGGTCAGAATGGATTCTAAATGGGCTACATTCAAACATTATGAACTCGCTATTGAGCCCAGCAAGGGCCCTCCATCAACCCTTGTAGCCTGAAACATGTGGGGTTTCCATGGAAACAGAGGACAAAATTGGCTGTGTCCCAGTTGGGTATCCCACTTTTGCCCCACATGGGTATGCTGGCTTTGATAGAGTTACCATTTAAATATGACTTACAAAAAAGAAACCGCTCCACACAATGCGTCACTTTTTCTGTAAAAGTTAAACAAAAAAACTTTTGGGGTTGTTTTACAGGTAACATTAAAGCCACCTCAGAGTAAAATGTGGATAACAACATGGATAATTTATGCTATTTCATAAATAAGAGACTGCGTTGGTGTGTTAAATACTTCTTTTCTAACTCCATCTCCTTTCATTTTTCAGGCCTACAGCGTCGCCGTCTGATCCCAGCACTGACCTTGGACTCTTCATCCTCCTCACCTTCTCACCGTTCCTCCAAACAGACCATCACGTCCTCTTCTTCCTCCTCCTCCAGCCCAGGTGCATGCTGGGTAGATGGCCCACTGGGGCCGCCAACTCCTTCAAGTCTCCGTGCTGCAACTGCAACGACAGAAACCTTTGAGATCAAGGTGTACGAGATAGACGACGTCGAAAGAATGCAGAAGAGAAGAGACAAAGGCGGGAGTAAGGTGAGAGAGATGGGCTAAATAACGCAAGAAGGAGTTTACACTAAAAAAGAGGGAGAAAGAGAACGAGAGCGATATAGACAGTATCAGGAAACATAAGGGGCTGCAAGAGAGAAGGAAAGCGTTAAAGAAATGAGAAAGTATGAGGAGAATATACTGTTTGGTGGTGGAGTGAGGGATGTGGGGAGAGAATTAAAAAAAAGGTGGAGAGCCAAAGAGCAGAAAAAGAGGCCCAGAGGGCAGGAGGTATATTGCACTTGATGTCAAGGAAATTGATATGATGAACAGTAGATGTGGGACACATTAAAAAGCAATATGTGTTCGGTTGGACATTGCTTCTGGAGGCAAATACAAGTAGGAGGAAGGTGGATAAGAAAATAGAAATATAGGGCTATTTCTACAGCTTCTCTTTGTGGCAATAAGATTAAAAAAATATATAACAATAAGGTTTTTTTAAAACTTGGAGAATCAACATTAACGCTGATTATTTCTACATAACATTTTCCTGTGTTTTTACTTAAAAGTATCACTTTAAATATGATTACAAATGCTTGCAGTGTTAGCAGAATACAGACTACAGAGTGCTACTGTGACACTCGTGAAATTGTTGCAAATGAATGCTTGGTGCAGGTTTGAGTTTTTCTTCTTTATGTATTCAGTGGAGGGAGCATGGTGAGCTTTAGGGGAAAGGGTTCGGAGAGGAAACCATGAAATATAGATTTTCCCTGCAGCGGCCTTAAGAAAGCCACTTAACCCCCGACTGCTCCAGTGAAGCCTCTTGCTGTCCAACAGCACTCGACTGCGGTCATACTGAGAGTCGATGAGGTGCAAATGTGTGTAATTGTGTGAATGCTAAGCAGGCTGCTGCAGAAAGAGAGCCACACATGTTTCACAACACCCTCTGGATTAATGAAGGTGAACCATGTCTGTATGTCCCATGTGTGACAGGAGGTGGTGTATGTCAGCGCCAAGCTCCGTGTGCTGGAAAACCGTCAGCAGAGGATCAGCGAAGTGCGAGCAAAGTACCAGTGTCTGAAGAAGGAGCTGGAGCAGACCAAACAGTACCTGATGCTTGAGCCACACAAGTGGACCACTGAATGTAAGCAGGACCTTGACACATCAGAAAGTGTGTGTGAGTGTGTGTGTTAGATAGAGAGGGCCACTCTGGCGCAGTAATTGTGGGATGTTTGTTCTTTATATTTCAAAGATTGACTGAAAAGCAAGAAATTATCAAAAACAATGATATCAAGCTTATTTGTTTCTGATCATCTTGTCAGATATCATAAGTGTGTTCCTTTTAAATTGTATATTATTACAATTACAATTTAATTTAGTTTGTTCCTCTGCAAAGATAATACTATAAATGCATCAGTCTTTCACGGTAACTCAGATTATTTTATGACTTACATAAATGTAGCGCAATATGTGTATTTAAAACAGAGTTTACTGTTTTACACATAATTGTAGGAACCACATTTGTTGGGCACTATTTCCAACTGTGATAATAATAATAATAATAATAATAATAATGTGATCAACTTAAAGAAGATGTTTCAGTGAGTAGTTTTAGGCTGCAGGATGTGAGATGAAATAAAGCTATGGTGCTGATGCTCACAGTTTAAGAGAGTTTTGATAGCAATAGAGCTCATTGGTACAAAAGGCTTTGGCCTTCAATATGAAGACATTTAACCAATGAATCATTGGCTTTGATTTTTACATGGAATTTATTGACAGTAAATGAGCAATACAGAACATCACTGGACTCATCCTTTAAAATAACATCAATATGTAAATTCCAGGTAAAAACAGAGTTTTAGGACGTGGTGTCATATAAATGTTCTGTACCTGTCTGTCCATGTCCAGTTGATCTACAGCAGGTCTATGAAGTGGACTCTATGGAGTATTTGGAGGCTCTGGAGACGGTGACAGACAAACTGGAAACCAGAGTCAACTTCTGCAAAGCTCACCTCATGATGATCACCTGCTTCGACGTGTCCTCCAGACATCGGTAGAAGATGAGGGGACGGAGTGATGGAGGACAGAGAGATGTCGATTGGATGTCGACATTGTAACACTTTCCCCCCCTTTGTATTCCAACACCTTTCCAAAATATCCTCTAAAAGACACATCTCATTGGACGAATGAATAGTTGGAAGAAGGGACAAAAGGATGGAGTGACCAGTTGATCCTGCATGGCATCCTGATGTTTCCTTCAAGTGTAAGTAGACCGAGGGACAGACGGAGAGATGGAGGTACATGAAGGGAGATATATAACAGATGATACTTCAGATTTTTTGTAGTAAACAACCTCAGAGACAGACAGTGAAGAACATCTTATGGACGAGTTACTTTGATTATTGATAAACATGGCTGTCCAGAGGGACAGACAGATGGTTCTGCTTCTGTAAACAAACTTCAGAAGTGAACAGAGAAGGGATTCATTAGACTGATGAGACACCCTGAAGACTGAGCCGAACATTTAGGAATGTATGGAGAGGAAAGGAGCTGAGCAGGAAAGAAAAACTGCCATTTTTAAAAAAAAAAGAAAACTGATAAAGAAGAGGTGAAGATGAGGAGAGGAACAACTTCTCTCTCCTCCGGGAATTTACAAGAGTACTTTTTGGAGTTTCAAAGTTGAGAGTTATTGCCTGTAAAGACAAAGTGCTGACTACACAACGGCCTGGTATTGTTGGCAGTTGATAAAAGAGACGGACCAAGGGGAAGACTGGAGGACAAAGAAATATGATTTAAGATAAGTGCCTTGTGAACATCTCAACAATACCCAGAGCAGTTCCCTTCTCTCTGAAAATGAGTACATGCAGTAAGTACGGTGCTAGCATAGAAGAAATAACCACAATTGTTCAGTGTCATTGGGAAATCTTTGAGCTTATAGCCATTTCTAAATGTGATGTTTAATTGTGGGTCCATGTTTTGCTATATCATAGACTAACAAATACTGAGAGTTAGAATGCTCTCTGGTCCAGTGATGAGGGTGGAGATTCAATTTGAACTTAATCCCTGACTGAAAGGCCTGAACAAGACCCGCACACCAAATCCTCTTTCAAACTAATGCAAGGACCTAAAGTTGAATACGATCATCTTTTGCCCAAGATGTGTGTGTTTAACAAAGGAATAAAACAATTACGCTAGTTTATTGTGGTGTTTTTTCCCCCTACGTGGCTTCTAATATTTGATCCTCTGGGGAATAACTACGGGGGTCATTTCCCCCTGATACTGATGTGATGGCTTTTTCATGTTCACAAAGCAATGAGACATCTGAGTCATATATCAGTGAAAAAGTGTTTTTTTCTCTGATCCAGCGTGAAGTCCATCCATCGATTGACTGCCCGTCAGACTGACTATCTGTTGTTTGTATCTGTGTTGTTCTGCTCTATTCTAAAAGAAGCTGAATGATTTGTCAACGTGTGTGTTTTATAATAAAGTATCATTTTTTATGTGAGTGCAATGGGACCATGTAGAGACTGAATGATGGCGCGATATTTAAGAGTAAAGAGGACAAAGGTGCAGTATTGGTCTATTGATATACAGTTGTTTTACTTTAAGGCCTGTATATTAGAAACAAAGTAGAGAATTAAGACTGAATTTCTGGCTGTGGACATCAATTGTGGTTAAAAATAAGCTGTATAAAAAGTTCCAGTATTGTTCTCTATTTAAAAAAAAACAGAAAATTAAAAGATACGACTAAAAATATGTATAAAAGAGAAACGGAAGAGCGCTGATGAAAGAAAAGGATGATGACCAAATTAGACGATCTCTGCCTGGTTCCATTTTTTGGGGGGAAGGACAGCAACTATTACGATTTGTTGATATTATTATCTATGGTGCTTGAGATGTTTAAGATCTAAATGTTTGTACAAATATATAAATATATGAAAGAGCCTGTTTCCCTCTAAAAGACAGAACAATACCTTCAGAATGCTTCTTCTTCTTCATCATCGTCGTCATCACATTTGTTTTAAACGTCATCACTGCCCTCTTTTCTTAATGCCTTTTAACCCAGCAAGCAGAGAGCATTCTGGGAGATTGTGTAGGTTAAAAAGGAGGAATAGGCACTGACAGACTTCATAGGAATGGAAATACTAAATACTGGTATGAGTTGTCAAAAGCATCTTGATCCTTATAAAAAACAAACTTGTCATTTCTTGTACACTACACTGACTTAGAAATAGGAATGACTTCAAATGTTTGGATCATCTCTCTGCTGTGTACAGAGGTATCAGTCATCTATCATCAGTGACAGCTATGGGATGATCCGGTGGGAAAGCTTAGATGCTTTTGACAGACTGGACCCATGAAGCGTTTCCACAGGAGGGGAGGAGGTAGCCGCACCGCTTCTCTAATGGTCTCCGTTCACCGTGCCAGTCATGAATGAAGGTTTATTTATTTGAGCTCAGGAGAGCAGAGTCGCTTAGTAATGTCCTTATTTATTTACACCTTATGATCTTAAGAGTTACTATGCATTTAAGTGAAAAAAAAGTGACTGTACAGCTCATGTCATATATAAATATATATACTGTACACATATCATATTTACGCTCATTTTTATTTTATATATTTTCTCTTGGTTTCGTTTGCTCCTGTTGTTCCTGTTGGAGATTGTCAAGGGTTTGGGTTTCGTAAAACATTAACACCTAGGTTAGTTACCAGCACTACAGCTAAATACTGACCTTACAGAGGACTTTTCAAGTGACACTGTCAAGTATTTATTCTGCAGTATTATCTCCAGGCTTTATGAAGTATCGGATGTTTTGGGAACCCAAACCTCAGGATGAGCTAAAAGTTTGTGTCCAGATTTGAGATGCTATGTGTGAGGTTTTTGTCCCCTGATGTGTCACTGCCAAATTGACTGTGGTAGCACTTTATGATTCTAGTACGAGTAAGTGACAAAAACATGACATTTTCTTGACCCAAATTGTTTATGCTGATCAAATGCTCTATATAGGGCAAAGACTATTTTACAGGTAAAGTGGCTCCTCTTATTAGAGACAAAAGTGGTAAAAATATTGTGAGGTGATTTGGAAAAAATCCTTCACCGAATGGTGTTTGTTGTACCAATATACAAAAAAAACTCTGATTAAATCTTTTTTTTTGCAGAAATTGTAATGTGTTTTATCTACAAATCTGACACATAGCATCCTCAAGTTCTCTTGGGTTGAATTGAAGGTCAGACCACATTTCATTGTGTCAGTAGAAGTGTGGTCTGATACTACGTGTTGATGGAAGAGCAAGAAGGAGGGATGTAAATAAAGAAATGTATTGAAAGAAATCCACCTTTGACCATTCGTCCTTTGAACACAGAATTGCAGACAAAGCAGCAGCCAGACCTCCGTTACATTGTCTTGTGTGTGTGTTTGTGTGTGTGTGTTTGTGTGTGTGTGTGGGGGGAAGCAGACACGAGTGTTGGGTGTCACAGACTGGTCAACGGTGTTTTAGGATGAATTATCAGATTAGAGAGTCATGTCCTCTTACAAAAGAGACAGAGGAAGCTCTAAAAGCTGATACTTGTTCCTCTGATAAGATAAGAAAGATTCATGATTCTCTTTGACAGCTGCCTTTCCTGAATAACAAACTGTTGTTACTTTAAACCTAGACTATGTGTTTCCCTTTAATCTATATTTACAGTTTGATCCTTTTAAAAAAAACTGCTTGTTGAGGTTACTTGAGGTCCCCTTGTGATCACATCCTGTGGTCTGACTTTGAGTGCATGACAAACAATTGTGAAATAAATACAAACAAATGATCAACATCTGGAAAAGAAACTACCAGTGATTTGGAATGACTCAGTTAATCCTCAAAGTTTAAAATGACAGTAGGAATATCTGACTTGGCCTGAAATAAGATGTGTTTTCTGAGACTTTTCTTGCCCTGTAGGTGAGATCACCTTGAATACATTTTTTTAAAGGAAAACATTTAAAAGCTACTTAACATGAACCTTAAGAAGTACATGAAGTGTGATTGACTACCAACTGTTGGCTGTGAAGGAAATGGATTAATTCTGATGGCGGTGTTTGTGATTGAGAAAAGTAAATGTCTACGGACTGAAAGGGGTTTGGCAGAAAAGATTCAACTAGGTGCTGCACAAATTCATGTGGTCCTGCTCAACGTGTCTCTCTTCACCATGAGACTGTAGGGTCAGCTGAAACTGAAAAAACATAAAAAAAATGTTTTATCAATGAAGTAATTTTAATTAACATCTTAAGTGAAATGATTGATTTCTTAAGTAAATCGCTGTGTAATATTCAGGAATGTATGGTGACCAGGTTATTATAGTGGAGGAACCCCTTCAGGGTGAACAGGACCCCGCCATTTTTTATCAGGGTCGTGTCTCACCCTGTGGGGGTTCCATTCAGCTATAACAGCTTGCTTATCACTCATTATCTCGAGCTTTACACGCAATCTTCATACGTCTATGAAAGGTTGATTTTAAAAAGTCAATGTTTTAATGATGTAGCTCGATGATTTCAACAGGATGGAACATGAAGCCTGTCTGTTTCTCTCTTTAACATATACAGTATATAAGCCAATTTCAAGGTGAAGGCTTTTTTTTACATGACTTGCCTCAAGGAAAGGAGCTAGATGTTTGAATTATGTGCCTGTTTTGTACTAGATATGCCTTAGCTTCCAGTGTGTGTGTGAGAGAGTGTGTAAGTTCCCTTACTAGCCTGCAGGCAGCTTTCTAGGTGACATATTGTCCTGTTGAGCCTGCTTTGATCACACACTCAGCAGGGAGCAGGAAGGAGGAGAAGGGAGGAAAAAGGAGAGAATTGATTAGAGCACAGAGAAGAATAAAGGGAGCAAAAGTGCTGAAGAGGTGCAGGAGTAATGAGATGGGTGAGGTAAGGGAGAACAAAACAAGGTGCAAGTGGATATAAAAAAAAAGGAAATAAAAAAAGAAGGTATTTCTTTCAAATATGTTCTCCTCTTTCATCAAATGAGCCGTCTGCTGCAATCATTCAGGCAAGAGACTTTTAACAGATGGATTTTTTAAATGTGAGACGCTCATTCAGTGATTGTATTAGCACAGAAGAAAGTAAGTCATATTCTTAGTTTGGAAAAGCCAGGTTACCAACATGAAAGCTAAGCTACGTAACCGTTTTGTTGGGGTTTAAATGTGTCTATAAAAATAGTACGCTTCAACTCAAATGGTGTAGCTTTATTAAAGTGGATAAATGACAGCGCTACATAGCTGTGCCACAGTACGCAGCTTCCTGTAACAGTTGCTGGGATGACAATGTCATGACGATATTAATGCTAAAAATTAATGCGCATTCCGACTAATTTAAACTAACACCTTAACTACCATGCCAAGGGAGAACACTTTCTCTTACTTATTTCCCTTGTTGTTTTCAGGATATTTATTCTGAACTTTTATGACTGATCATGTTTTATAGAACAGCAAAGAACAGCAAAGTTCACAGATGTGTACTCAGACCAGCATGTGCTTAATACAAATCCATCCTGTAGGGACCCTGAATGTGCACACTACTGTACATGCAAACGCTGCTACAAGTCCCTAAAAGAGAAAAAAAAAATCTGCTCCAAGTTGAGAAGGAGCTGATAGTAAAGTATTAATGTGTGCAGGTAGCTGCAGTAGAGCCAGTTTATATTCAGCTCAACAATCCTTTAAATCACTGCTCTGATTATGAAGGAGCCCCATCAATGTTGAGAGAAGATGTAGGTGTAAAGTGACGTGATAAAGATGTGAGGTTAACTTAGAGATGTGGTTTTGTCTCGCTTATTTCACTCTGAGGTGAGATTACTCATATGGTAATATCCATCAAGTCCTTATCTTCAAACTCTGAAACACAAGAAGATAATGGATACGTTATACCTGGGATAAAAATCTATCGTCTGTGACTGTTATCAAACCTTCAAACAGCAGCTGATCTCTGTGTGAGGAACACGCAGCTGACAGGAGAGTGTCATATTCACTATATGCTTTACACATTTACCGGTAATGATTTACTGATATCCTCTTAAACATCATGTGTTACTGTTGGTTGTAATAAATTGTAAATCCTTCTCTAATGAGACCTGACAATCAGTTTGATGGTCATAGCAAGAAATGTAAAGGATAATTGGATGTGAGGTGGTGTGGGTGTGTGGGGGATCAGAGAGGGGCAGTGTCCCTGCAAAGTGAGAGTGAAAATTGAACAAGGGGGAGAGGAAATGGCATGAGGGCGAGTGAATGAAGATGATTTAAAAAAAACACTCTGAGTCCTCTTTCTTGGCTTGTTCAGGCTGCAGTGAAGGGCGGAGACGAGTCGCTGACAAAAAGTGAATTTAATTTGAGAAGCTCTGAGAAAAAGAGAGAGGAAATAGGTGGTGAGTGGCAGAGAGAAAGAGACAGAAGGTTATAACTGAGGAATAGTTGATGGCTGTCGAGATAAACAAAGAAGAAAGGGGGAGAAAGAGGGACACAAAGCTGTAGAGCTAATGAATGAAGTGAAGGAGGCAGAGAGGAGTATTGTACAGCAGAACAGACTCTAAAACACAGACCATTCATTACGCTGCTGTCATTACTGAACTATCACGTTCATTTCATTACTTCTCTTCCAGATCGGTCAACGGAAGCTTTCCCCTTCTTTCTTTCACTTCATTGTTTTTGCACACAGAAGATGCTCGAGCCTGCTGACCATGAAGGCTTATATCTACAGCTAATCTGCCCAAGTAGATTTGCTGAATTTTTTTAAAATCCTATTTTAAAAAAAGAAATCGCAATCAGAGAGGAAAAAGAGAAGCTTGTTATGCCAACGTTTCTTTTTTTCAGAGGCAACTTGCTGCCAATGTTGTCCTGCAGTTTAGGTGAACGGCTGCGATGTGCTAATATATATATATATATATATATATATATCTCATCAAAAAGCTTCACACACAAAACGGAAACATCAAGTGAAACATTTTAAAACTGGAAAAATGTTAATCGAGGGTTTTTACTAAAAAGGACTACTGATAAAAACTGTCAAGAGCAGAAACACACAATAAATAAATCTACACAATGGGGGGGGCAATGAGGGTTTTATTAGAGGAGAGCAGAGGTGTGTGTGTGTGTGTGTGTGTGTGTGTGTGTGTGTGTGTGTGCGTGTGTTTGTGGGGATTAGAGAATAGAAGGGAAGTAAGAAGATCAGACTAAAATTGTTTGTGACAGACTAAAATAAGAATAAAGCTCTTATATCTGAGAAAACGAATAGAACTTAAAGTTGATCCATAATCGTCAATAATATTCAGTTTGAAAGAAATATTTAATTGTTAAATAACACTGAACAGAATCATTCAAATCCAGCTAATCCAGGATGAAGGATTTTAGGTTTCAAACATGTCAGCTCCCAGAACTGAGGGAGCGAAAAATGTTAGAAAAGCAAAGAACCTTTTATTTGTGACCTTAAAGGAAACATGCTATCACTCTAATCCTCTCTCTCTCTCTCTCTCTCTCACACACACACACACACACACACACACAAAGTTTCCCATCACAGGAGATGCCGTCATCAGTTTGAAAATGGTAGAATTTTAAGGATTAACAGAGGAAGAATGTGTGTGTGTGTTTGCGTGTGTGTGCGAGAGAGAGAGTGAAAAAACACACAATCTGGGTTTAACCCTTAAAAAGCTGCAGGGGCCACATGCTGACAGAGTAAAACACAAAAACATGGATTAACATGGGAAGTGAGAGGGACATGTATGGAGGCAAAATGGATGTTTTGATGACCTGACTTTACTAAAACAACAACACATGTACACACACATACACACGTGTTACTCATCTCATGGTATGTGTTCAATAAACACAGGAGATAGAGGCCTCTCTCTCTCTCTGACATACTCACACAACAGAGCGTCTAATATGTCGTGTCATATCTATCCACAGACATGTGATTTAAATAAATGTTCCCTCCCTCTTTGAAATAAATTATTATTTGTACAGACGTTCACTGTGTGCAGAGGATGTATTCTAGTGGCTTTGATGATTTTTACTTTTCCATTCACACCAGGCTGTGTATGAGAAATGGACGTAAGCACAGAGGCTCACCTTTGAGTTTGAGGACTGTGATTTGTTAAGTTCTTTGGCCGTGCCTGTTCCTTTTTTTGTTTTGTAGCAAAAGCGTAGTCAGACTAGAGGGAGGAGCAGGACATGAGCAAGGGTTAAGCATATGCTTAGTTCACAAAAATATAGTCAATGCCAAAGAACTCATTTATTAGCTATTTGATTAGTTTATAAATGACAGTGTTTCATACTGAAACAGGTTGTTTTAGTTACGTTAAGAGACC